TATGGTCTTTCAATTCCATAATATTAGAATACATTGTCTGCCGACGTACTATACCAATCAGTGTGCAACACAAATGTCCAGGTGTGTAAACAGTACCTGGTACAAAAAATGAAAAAAAGATAGGAAATTTGAAAAATATTTTTTACAGTCAACAGAAAATAAAAATGAAGTTCATGGTTTATCGTTCACGTTACATAACCTATTGCTTAGCATATCATCAGAAGAAGGAAAATTACAAAACTCATTTGTTCATGATCAATTGTAGCATTGTTGTTTTACTGACTGTAAAAAATATTCTACTTAAAACTGATTGAATATTATTATTGTATAATTGGGTTCGGCAGTTTCTCTTCATATATTGAATTCTTACTCAGTTCTTTTATATTATACTTCAGTTGACACTTTTTATGTCTTTACAGTGACTTGATTGAGCCTTCAGATTCTTTCCTTAATAGTCTCTCAGTTTTCTCCGTAAATAGAAAAGGCGGTAATAGAAAAGGTGTATTTACAGCGTCAACGGTAACGTCAATATATATATATATATATATATATATATATATATATATATATATATATATATATATATATATATATAAATTACAAGGCTTATACATACTACAATGATCTAGGCTATTTCCAGGCCTATTAGGTTTAAATCTCATCAACCAACCAGGTACTTACACATTGGTTCACTTGTTCTTTCCCCAAAACATTAAAGCAAAGCGATTGTTTGAAAAAGGCTTTTGGCATTTGCGGCTATTTATGAAGATTTTATCAATCTTTCTGAACACTATAACAAATTCCGTACGATTCATTCAATGAAATCAATAACCGTGCAATACTCCATTTTCTCCGCATAAAATCGGTCGTTTCATTTTCATGAATTATGGTGCATTACGAACATCAATATGTATGACTTTTACAGTGGATGAATACAAGGATAGTGAATAATCACTCTGTCTTTAGTTGTATATTGGAAGGGCTGGAAAGACTTATAGTCAGAAGGTTACGAGAAGTAACTTCTGGTGCGTTCAGGTCATTCAATGACTCTTGTATCGTGGGTTAAGCGTGGTAAATGCAGTGATATTTAGGTAGCGAAGCGTGGAGAAAGCCAGAATCACATAATAGTCAGTGTCAAAGTCAGTGACTCTAAACGCCACCCTAACAAATAATAAATTAATCATTTAGGGTCCTGTATTTCGCCCACATAAGTAGTATCTATATGGAGTACAGATATTGAGTTGCATACACAACACCGTTAGTGCTGGAAGAAAAGTAATGATGGCCAGGTTGAGAGATAGCGGTAATCTGTAAATTCAGTGATCATTTGATCGGTTTCATCAATGTTTTCGGAAGCATGAGCCAACTGTTTGTTTTCGGAATAGACAGTCAAAGATCTAGACAGTGTATTGGATAGTCAGACGGTATGAAGCGAATTTATTCATTTTAACTTCGTGAAAACACTGGACAACATTTCATGTCTATGACTACTGCGATTTGTTTTAAATGATTGGTCGTTTACATTCTTTGACTTTCATCTGTAATTTATAGAAACTATAAAGGATTCTAATCCATACCACCTGAAGTATGGAACCATGAATTTCTGTTGTCTTATAGAAAGAATCCATTTAGCAAGCGAACAGTTTTATGTCCAAACCAAACTAACAGTGAAAAAACTAGTAAATCGGTTCCACTTTCTGATTTCACCACAACGAACGTTTGTTTAGTCTTATTTCATAAACTGTACAGTATTGAAGTACATAATTATTACAACGCAGGTCATTCTTATCAAAAAATGATTTCAACAGTGACAATTTTTAGTATTCTTAAATCAAATTGTATTTAACGCACTCAATAAGATCCTGAAGTATGATAAATGCTAGTCTCACTGAGACGAGAATACCGTTGGAATCTATCAATAAATGTACACAAAATGAACAATAAGTGAACTTATACTAAAGGTTTTTACATCATTACAAGATTCATCATGGTTCTAAAACATTCACACAAAACAGTTATAGTGAATGGAATAGCGTAAAACTGCAGAACATTGAGTTGTGAGGAAATTTCTAACACAGAAAGTATGCAATGAGAGTGAATATCACATATTCTTGCTTGATTATGTAAAGAAGACCGAATTCATATTTGGACTAGATAAGATTCAATTAGCGATTTTATCCTAAATTCTGTTATTTTGAATATCAAATTAATCCAGTGAACGTAAATGTAAAATTTACAAACTTGTTTTTACAAGTAAATCATTCAACGGCGAACTCGCTAAATGCTAAACAACCTTATTTCACTCTGATACTAATGATGCATAGTAGAATCTAGGATAAGCGTTTCGTCCTGTTTGGGATCCGTCGGTTGGATATGTCTGGCTACCAGCGGGTGATGTAATTCATACCAAGACCCGAACCTGCGGCTGGCTGTTTCATACCCCAGAGCGTAATCCAGTCGACCACTGAGTCACAATAGCCACCTTTTGTGCGATGGGTTACTTTTCTTCGTCAATGAGATCGGATGGGAAGCTGGTACATCCAACTGACTAGTCCCATATAGGACGAAACGTGCGTCCCGGATTCTACCGCTCAGGAACCCATATGATAATTGAAACCAAACAGTTCGTTTCACTCAGTGACGGGAGATTTCAAGCAATAACATAAAAACATAGCTGAATATTTGTGAACAATGCACAAACAGTACTACAAACAGCTTGTTGACTGAGCCACATCGGAAAACTTAAAAAAAATCCTAAGGAAATGCGAAAAACTGATTATAATTAAACCAGATAAGCAACGAGGTGTGTAGTGTTAGTGGACAAAAGGAGTATAAATTAGCAAATGAACTCCCTCCTGAACTAAATAAAGTTCCAAAATCTTTTCATCCTGAGTTCAAATAATAAGGCTGAGAAAAACTTGAGGAACATTCTCAAATAACTAAGGTAAAGGGCTATAATCGTGACAACTGTATACGATGGACTTAAGCTCACAGGGTGTTGTAACACCACGGTTAATCTGAAATACTATTATGGATGTACTGAACTTCATTCCTAAGATATAAAACGTGAACATGAACGAGATATCTCATCGTTATAAACACACGGACCATAGTTGTTACAAATGTCCTGGAAGAAGTTGAGCGCCGAGTCTAATTTAATCAGTATAAGAATATGTTTTAATATAATTCTGATGTGTTTAGAAAATCACTCTGAGATTATATTGAAGTATACTATCATAATGATTTCATTTTCATCCATCAATATACCACTCGTTGAAACCATGGAGTTAGTTTACTAGAAGACATGGGAAACACTGAGAATTCTAGACTATAGTCTCAAAGAGTTGCTTTTTAGATGCACCAAAGATGTAAATCTTCCCCTCAATTATGCATCTGATATAGGTTCACCTTTAGGCTCGATATTAGCTGATTTCTTCTTACCAAACTAGAAAAAGATGTCGTCGACATACTAATGACGCATTTGTTGTCTTTGATTACTGTCGATAAAAAAGAATTGTTAACAAAATGTAGTGACGTACAACCTTTTCTCACCTTCACTTGAGAAGAACAGCACAACAATACCTTGCATTTTTTAAATGTACGATTGGTTTGAAGGGATGATTAGTCGCTGATCACAAGGATGTACAGAAAAATAAAACCTTTAAGTCAGTATATACACCTCCTTAGCTTTGTATCCAGTCGGTATTAAAGAAGTTTGACGGAATTTCTTGGGAACATGGCCAGAAGGAAATAGTCCGATAATTCAACAACAACAAAACCAGGAGGTACGATGTGTTCACAACATGCCGGTAAAATTAGATTACCTCTGTAGTTTTATTCAGAACCATATAAAGAATATGAGAGAAAAATCTATACAAGTGACTGTTGATGAAGCAATAATTTAATTGGGAGGCACCTAGTGAAGTTTTATTCCAGAGGCTATTAGAAAACATAAGAATTTCTCATGCTGCTAACCTTCGCTTATCATTTTCTAGTCGGCCGATAACTGTTGCCCAAACAAAAAACAAGCTGACCAATTTTTCCACCTCTATGAGTTTACCTGATCCTATGTAAAATGGTTGGAGATCTACTGCAACTCAGCATAAAGAACAAGATCTAAATTTTCGACACCAATGTCAAGTCAGTCCTGCTATATGGTTTAGAAACTTAACGTGCCACGAAAAGCATTTCCAACAAACTACAGATATTCATCAACAACTGCCTACGCTGGCTCGTCACTGAAGATCAGATCAGACGGCCAGAAAGGATAAGCAACAGAGAACTCTGGCAACAAACCAACCAACAACCTATCGCCTAACAAATATGCAGTGGAAGAAAGTGGAGATGGATTGAGCATACACTGAGAAAACCATTCGGGGACATCACGGGCCAGGTCAGGCCGTTGAGTGGAATCCAAAGGGGAAACGACGAGTGACACGAAGGAGATCGTGGGAGGAAGAAATGAAAGCTTGTGGGTAGTCGTGGAGCGAGGTTCAAAAGACTGCGGAGAACAGAGTGCAATGGAGGCGTGCTATCGAAGTCCTATGTTTCACTAGGAACCCAAGTGAAAAAAAAAGTAATAATATGTAAAATGGCATATCGCGTGTACGACCAGGCAGCCTGATTAACAAGTTACTCAGCACCTACCCTCATGGTTACTCAAGGGACAGGTGAAGTCAATACAAAGTTCACTTCTGTTGCATTTTGTTTGTAGGCGTTACGTAGTAGATGAAACTTAAGTGTTCAAAGCCATCTATCGTATTCTACAAAATCTTTCGAGTCGAATTTATATTTTTATATTACACATAAATGAGGCTATAAGAATTAGAGAAAACAACCGTGGATTGTGTGCAGAAAAAGTTTATATAACCCTTATCTCTGCTTTAGTCAGAGAAAACTAAAAAGATGATTTCATAGACAAATCCAATTTTTTCAACCCCTTTTCCGTTTCTTCACATCTTTGACATTCATGTTTTATTCGTTATCATATTTCATTTTTTAGTATTATACAACTTTATCCAAATTTTGATCAACAATAATTGTCTAAATGTCTCCAGTACCATGCTGTTCATATTATTTTTATCATTTTTAGGATAAATACTGAGATTATAATAATGATGATTGTTTGCAAAGTTACTATTTGCATACTTCATTAGCTTATCACCATAGCCTAAATAATTCACTATGATTGGCTTAATGCTTTATGCGGTTAAGTAAAACCCCAATGACAGCTAATTGAAAACACTATTCTTTGCTTATATGAATCCTCTTAATTCTGAAAATTGGAATCTATATCATTTTTAGAATGAGTCTCATTACATTTTCTGCGATTGAAAGCAGAATCAAAGCATACATTCATCTGCTTAACTTTTCAAGAATACAATCTTAATATATGTTTTATTTCTTGATGATGACGATTGTATCCAAAAGAATATTTTCAACTTCATCTCAATCGATAAAAATTCCTTAGATAACGCGATCACTGCAGAAAATCCATCGTGCATCATGGTATTCATACTTTTTTACCAGAAAAATTCAATGTGAGAATGATGATATGAAGTAAATCTGCTGTACAAGAAGATTTAAACCAGTAACCTTCAAAACTATGAATGCCTATCTTGTTTTTAGTTAAAGTTTGAATCATTCATTTGCTGATTGAGAAAACAATTTCGAACGAAGACGATTTGAAGAAATTTAACTTCATTGAACATCGAGAAAATCTGACAATAGTTGGTCAGCATAAAACTTTTAGAAAATGATACTACTTATAATTTGTCAGTAGATAGATGAGTAGAGAACAGTTTCAGTAAATATACATTTCCTATAAATTGATACCATTATAATCAGTGTAATTCGAATATATGATTTAGAGAATAACAATAAAGGTTGTAATAGTGATAATATCTTCAAAGAGTATACGCATTCTCAGGAGGCAATCACCACGGACGTATGAGTGCAGTGTGTATGTGAGTAGGGATAGAATGTGTCAATGACTTTCGAATGGCAATTAAACACTGATAGTTCACTGTACACAATATTAAATTCAGTGTGCATGTAGAACATTTAGAGCACATGAAATGAATTTGATTCATACCACAATAATTTTTTTTTGCTTTTCAAAAAATTATCAAGGGAACTGAATTGTATGACAATAAGGTTTTTGAAATTTTGATAAATTATAAAACTAAGGGTAAGATATAAATGTAAGTTAGAACGGAGTGTAACAATGATGACAGGGATAAGAGTACAAAAATAATATATACATTGATTTAGGTGACCGGGAAGGAAATTAATGCAGTTGTATTTGAAAGCCATAGCGGAAAAAAGGTGAATTTTCCAAAATTAAGTATTTGCTTAAATTGTGTTTGCTATTTATAACAATATAATATCCGAATAAGAAGGTTTTAGAAATGAGGCACGATAAAGTACAAAACTAACTCAAAAATACAAAAACATGAAAAAATATCTTATTAGATGCATATACTATGTAGAAGGAGGCAAATCAACTTACCATCTGAACGTATATTAGAGTTAATTTGATCATTTAACCAGTCGATTGCTTTTGAGGCAAATTTCGTGCCTAAATTCCGATCAAATGGACTTGGACTATTGCCTTGTTGCATATGGCCCAATACATTACAACTATATGTATAAAAAAATGGGGTGATAGCAAAATAAGAAACATTTATGGAAATAGTCATTTTTATATAACTTAAAAAATGCATATATGTATATAAAGACAGATAGTGGCTAGCAGTCCGATCCACGATGGAGATTCGCAAGCTACGACTTTAAAACTGTACTGTACCCCTTGCACGAGAAGTAACCACCCTGCTTCAGTGAACTAGTGGGCAACCGTCTGGCATTCGAATTCAATGATCATGGGTCCGAGTGCTAGTGGGAACAATACTCACTAGGAGGCAGGTACATTCAGCTGACGGGTCCCAAATAGGTTGGAACGTGTGTTATGGACTCCTCTGTTAGCCACTATTCATAATCAGCATCACCACACTAGAATTACTGGCAGTATGGAGGCATCGGTGCAGCAGCCTATAAACTAACAGTGGCTAGTCGATTAGGTCCAATCAACGACAGAAATTTACCAGCCTATAACATCAACACTAAATATGTATATAACTCCCATGAATAGAGTTGAAATTAATAAAATACATAAGTTGAAAATGCTTTTAATAGAGGACTTTCTCAGTAAAATATATCCTATCGAACCTAGAGTTATCAGAAGGTAAAAATAAAACAAGTTTCTGTGATCAGTTTGTCTCAAACGAATCAAGCACAAACTCTCACTTCTTACAGGGCTAAACCGCAGAAGAGTATCAGCCAACATGATTCTATCTAGTAAACAAGTTGTTGTGATGCCTCAGTTTTGCATAAAACACTTTAATATCAATTCATTCCTTAATCATTGACCTATTGTACACGTTTCAGCTTAATTATCACCGTTTTACAATTCTTTGACAGCACTTGTCACTTATCTCACCACTTGTTATCAATTCGTTCCTCTTTATTCAGTGACCCATTATCTATCTCTTCCACTTGAACAAATACCACCACCCCTCCACCGATTGTATATATTGCATCTTGACTGAGCAACTTTTTTAGTGCAATTATCTGTCACTTTACTCAGTATAAAACACTTATTGATCTGAACATTTTAACGTGTCATTCCAACATCATTTTTTACCGTATGACTAATAGTCTATTTTCTGCCCCCATTGTAATGTAAATCGCTAATTGGCTAACCTTTACTCTTACTATGCAAATGCCACAAATTGGGGACAAGGTCATTTTTCATGTGTGTACTTATTCACGTGTTTTGGGATTGATTTTATTACATTCTCGGAGTAATACACTCTCCCATCTGCCAGCTTCGGTCTTCTCTCTATTCATTCTGGGGTTGCAGTCAGTGGCTCTTGCGTACCAAGTTAGCTGTCAGCTAAGCGCTCGTATTATGTTCGTTCCGGAATATACATGCATATATCATTAGCGTTCGAAAGCATAACACAAATGAGTAGGGACTCACTATGGAGTGTAACCCCGTTGAGTTAAATATCAAAACACGTCGAGTGTATGCGCCACTGAAAACCCCATTCATAACTGCTTGAATATGAACAGTATTCAAGATATTGTTCGCTTATAACTGAAAATACCCCTAGTATATGGGAGTCAAATATGATTCCCTCTGACTAGTCTAAGTCACTAATTATTCACGTTTTCAAGAAAGGTGAGAAGTCCTCTTGTGATAACCAAAGAGGAATCAGCCTGACAAACATAGTGTCTAAGATTCCAGGTTCCATAATTCTTCGACACCTTACTGGAGCTCGGGAACAGTAAGCCCGAGAAAACCAGGCAGGCTGTAGATCCGGTAGTCGGTGTATCGACCAAATATTCACACTCCACCAGGCCCTGGGACACAGGCACACTTACCGACGCCCAACAATAGCTGCATTTCTCAACCTGAAGGCGGCGTTCGATTCTGTTGATCGAGAAGTCTTATGGCAATGTCTCTCACTGAAAGGTGTGCCGAGTAAGTACATCACCTTATTGAGGGTTCTCTACTCAAACACTTGTGGACGTGTTCGAGCCTATGGTAAGATGTCCCGGGAGCTGTACTCATCGAGCGCTGTCTACCAAGGCTGCTCACTCTCTCCATTCCTACTCAATCTTATCATATATATTCTCATGGAGGTCTCCCCATCGTCACATGATTACACAGACGTTGATCTCATCCCAGGAGAACTTTCGTTAGACCTAGAATATGCAAATGATATAGTCCTGTTAGGTGAAGACGCTAACAAGATGCAGAGTCCTCTGAACACTTTGAGTGTCAATTTGAGAATATTTAGGATACGTTTCTCACCACCCAAATGCAAATTGTTGCTCCACGATTGGTCTTCAACAGTGCTACGGCTAACAATAGAGAGTGTAGCGGTTCAGTGGATCGACCACTTCACTTATCTGGGAAGTAGGATCAGCCCTACGATGGTGGCTGCCTCAGTGGCCGACGAAATCTCTGCACGGATACAAAAGGCTTGTCTGGCTTTGCCAACTTACCCCACCTATGGCACCGCCATGATATCCGATTGTCTATTAAGGGTCGTATGTACTCAACAGCAGTCCAGTCTGTTCTACTCTATGGCTATGAAACATGGCCATTGAAGGTGGAAGACATGAGAAGGCTGACTTCATGTGTTTGACCACCATTGTCTTCGTAGTATAGACCGTATTGCATGGTGTCACCATGTGAGTAACGCAGACGTCAGGTGTAGAGTTTTAGAGAGAGGAGGTAAGTCAGTTGACACGGTTGTGAACCTTCATCGACAGAGATGGTTGGGGCACGTATTACGTGTGCCTAGCCATCGATTGCTTCGTCACACAATGTTGGTTGAAGTAGGTGCACACTGGAAAAAGGCTCGACTAAAACACTGCACCAATGTATGAAGTGTTTGACTGTTGGTTTGAGCCATGTGGGGCGATGCAGACTAGCCGGTTTCGGTTTGCGAAACAAGAGAGACCAGTGGTTGGAGACTGACTCTGGGTGATATGCCTCAGAACCGATGCCAGTGGCGCAGATGTATACACACATTATCCTCATCTTAACGATGCTATTCCGAATTCCACCATTTTCTCATTCTTCCTTTCTGTTTTTTCGTACTTTATATTTCTTCTGACTGGTTTTTCTATCCTTCATCTTGCACTTCTCTGCCTTTTTACTTGACGTACTTATATGAGTTGTGACAACTCGGAACGTTACTCAGTAATGCCTGGTCCTATGTTGATTTGGATGGGTGGACTAAGTTATTCAATCAGGCTGCACAAAACGCATTCTTGCCGGAGACATCTCCGAACAATTTCCTGCTTAGCTATCGAGAGGAGAACGGGAGTCAAGCAACAGTTCCATCTTGGACCATTTGACCAAATCTAGTCATATCGCTTTCCCATAGTCTTTTTTCAAACCTTTGTAAAAAGTCAGACCAAACACCATGAAAGAAGTGCGGGTTAGTCACTCGTGCAAAGCACAGTTGTTGGCAATTCAACAGTTAAAGTCTGAGCTCTGAGTAAAGAAGAAGTACGTACATTCCTTACTCTTATTTTCCCGTAGCCATAATCCTTCCTTGAGTTTCGTTATTGCTTCAATATTCATCTTACTCTTACTTACAAGCCGATTATTATTTTTTTATTTTTACGGCTTATTTTTCTACCTCTTGACATCTTAGCTGTCCTGTGTTCCCAGGTTCCCAATGTTTCTCCAAATGATGTCAGTCCATGCTGAATACCAACCTGAAATCAATGAACTGGTTTGTTTGCTTGTTATTAGTATAAATTTGTTTGTACAGCTGCTGAAAGTGATTCGTGGAAAATAAAAATTTTATTCGTTGAATTACTTGGTGATTTTGAACGTCTCAGTGAGATTTCTGACTTGATTATTCAAATATATCTAGTCAATAAACTGAAAATATATTGAAGAATATAATCCCATTATCTATCGCTCCCACAAACTTAGCGAGGTGGTGTATAGAGAAATCACAATCCTTAAGCAGTGTGTTGCTTTTGTCCTCCAACTTTAATGATCACAAAGGTGAACGCACAATTTCTAGGTTATCTAAACAATATTTACACTAGAAACCAATCATTCAGTATCACAGATTTCAGTATTTAATACGGATTTGTGATAAAACTACGAACTATGTCAATGAAAAATATGAGACTGTGGAAACTGCCTATGTCCACTTGTAGGTTATACTAAAGAGATTAGAGTAATTGAAACAACGTATATGACTGTCTCGTTCATTTTTATGCGGAGCCCTATCGGAAATGGCCTTGTATGAATTCATCGCTGGTCAGGCTCTGGAAGTAAAAACAATATGATTCTCTGGTTTGATTTCCTGGCGACTAACTATATTATTGTGGAGTTGTAGCTCATTGATTTGGGGAGAGTATACATATTCTTGGAACTGATTAGGGTTACTTATAGCATCAGTCTTTAGACTGAAGGTTTACTGTCCGACCGCTAACAGTAATGTCACTGACTGCAATATTAGGTTAGGCGGGTTTGAATCTCAGAGTGGAAAGCACTTTTCTTGGGGTTATAGACCCACCTTGTTGACACATGCCAATAAGCACGAAACCTAAGTCGAACAGGGATTCTTGCCGATTACCTCTAATCCGCTAACATCCATCAAAGGTGCAATACGATGGTAAACCTCCTAGCTTGGTGGCTACATTGCAAAATGGTCAATAGAATTCAGTCAGTACTCAGGATTATACAATATGAAGTTGGTTGCCCTCCAGTGATCGGTCAATGTATTTAACGCAGTCGTACGGGAGGTCGGTCGTGGCCCGAATGGCTTATTGGTAACATCATGGACTACAAAATTGAGGGATATGGGTTTATATCTGAAACTGGGAATCAATTCTTTCGCAGTTGCGCATATACCATGAAGATGAGTGCAACAAGCATGAATTCTCGGTCAAATAAGGTTTCCTACCGATTACCTGCAACCAACTAACAAAATAAACACACCCAAACTGTTGGTGAATATAGAGATTGATGTCATATATTTGTATAGACAAACTTACCGACAATCAAATATTCCTTTACCCTCTTCTGCATATAACTGATGAATAAATTCACTAGTATAATTTTTATTAGCATATTCAGCTCGTAGTACTAAACCACGTTGAACATTATCAGCAATTTTAGCACGTAAATGTACAACATCTTCACGAAGATCATCAATTGTAAATGGTTCTTCATAGATGTAGGCGGCATCTGCACCACCAGCCAATGCACTCATTGTCGCCAGATAACCACAATAACCACCCATTGTTTCAACAACAAATACACGACGTTTTGTGCCTAAAGCGCTTTGTTTAATTTTGTCTAGAATCTATAGGAATACAGTGGTATAGAGAAATAAAAAGAAGAATTAGCTATTTAATGAAGAAATATCATAAATAGAAAAAAAGTCATTTAAAAAAAGACTGATTGAGCGAAGAAATATATTTCTTTTCAATTAGGTCTTCATCTTGGGCTCTACACTAATATTATTGGCTTACAATTAATCAAATTACCAATCACATGGTGGTGTTTCCGAAATAATGATGTAAATAATCAATAGGGCTATTAAAATAGGAAATATGAATATTGATAGAAACAAGAAGGGGAAGAGGTGCACAAAATAAACACCTAGAAGTTACATCATGTTGACGGCCACGGTAATGAAAGTGGTCGAACTAACTTCTTTTGGATACAACTGCTAGGTTTGTAAAGGTGGATTGCAATCGCCTCTGCTATGTGAAGTAACCGAGTGAGTAATCCATGAAGTAAATTAATTGGAATCTGATGGATGATTTTGAAGGCTTTTCCAGTTACCACTTGATGTCCTGTGTCAACTAAGTGTGCAAGTATGGAGCTCTCTATAGTTCTAATTTGTCCCTTGTTCAACCATGATGGGTGGTGTTCAGAAATTCGACGATGGAACTGCCTCATTGTACGCCCAATGTAACTAGCTCCACAGGAGCAGTTGAATTGATAAATGCACATAGAAGTGGCAGGATCAGGCAGTTTGTTTTTCTTTCTTGCACCTAGAATCGAGCAGTTGTAGAAGGCGGGACATAATTTAGTGGCTGGGAATGCTTTATGCAAGACTCTTTTTATACGTTGTGTGATGATCTCACTGGCAATATCACTCTTAAATTGCAGCTTCAAGAAGATTTGCTTCTTAGGAACTGTTGGCATTGTTTTCTTAACCCTCGTAGTATTCATGTGCTTAGTTACAAACTTGTCTGGGTAGCCATTCCACCTTTGCAAACCTAGCAGTTGTATCCGAAAGAAGTTTGTTCAACCACTTTCATTACCGTGGCCGTCAACATGATGTAACTTCTAGGTGTTTATTTTGTGCACCTCTTCCCCTTCTTGTTTCTATCAATATTCATATTTCCTATTTTAGTAGCCCTATTGATTATTTACATCATTATTTCGGAAACACCACCATGTGATTGGTAATTTGATTAATTGTAAGCCAATAATATTAGTGTAGAGCCCAAGATGAAGACCTAATTGAAAAGAAATATATTTCTTCGCTCAATCAGTCTTTTTCTAAATGTCTAAATGGGAATATTCAATCACTTTAAATGTTATATTAGCTTGTTATCCAAGTTCATCAGTCAAACTTGATAGATTTAATGGCAGTTATTATTCCTAGTCAACACTAAGCATAATTCCGTTATAATACTTAGTTTCTCTGACGTAAGAAAAATAGACTTATGTTAGTTGGTTTGAGGCAATCGGTAGGAAGCCTAGTCTTTAAACAATTAACATACATCAAAAGTGTATCGCAATGGTGAGCCCCCTAGTTTGGTGACCGCACTGCAAAATGATCGCTAGAGTTTGATCATGGTCCAGGACTGGTTCGAATCCGACCGCGGTCCAAGTTTTCATCATACCTTCAATCATCATCCAGTATAAATACTAGTCTGTCAAACTACGGCTACCTCGGATAGTCAAATGATAATCAATATAAAACTTGGTCGCTCTCCGGCGACCAATCAATGTAAAATAGAATTGTCTTCTGTTAAAGTGTATAAATTCTTGACTGTTATTGAGAAAATATCTGATGAAATTTAAAAAATTAATGAACGGCGTTTGGCTTCCTTAATAGACAGGCAGACAGATAGAATCAACACAGAACCTTATGGATAAGTGCATCATCTCAAATTACCACACTTCACATTCACATCAAATGAATAAGTGGATAGGAAAAGACTGATATTAAAGTAGAAAAAGTTGTGTGACAGAATAAGCAATTTGAATAGAGTGGTTAGTCCGAATACTCAGGCTTTAGAAGGTGTCAAGGAGTGAATGCATCTGCACCACTAAGAGTCTTCAACCACTGACTTCCATCATCTCGGGGACTCCAGCTAAGTAGTCTGCATCTCACCACATGGCTCAGATCAACAGTTAGGGACTTGAACGACTGAAGCCACGCTTTAGTCTGTTCATTTTGTACCCTCTTCCAATCTAAAGCAACTTCTCCAAGCATGATACGTCGGGGTAGGTAGTGGTTTGGCATGGGTAACACGTGCCCAAGCCACCCCAGTCAATGAAGGTTCACAACCTTTCTTCCTTAGTTAAAAGTTTCTTATAACTGATCATCGTTGATACCTTTCGATATTCAATCGAAGCTACCTAGTTATTGTAAAATGGCAGATTACCAATAGGTAACAATGTACAATCCATGGGACATGAAAATCTTGAATTCACTTGTAGAACCAGTTAGTGATGTCCATGGGGATAAGGAACCATAAACTAGAATAAAACGAAGATTCAGTGCCTTGGTAGTTTCTTGAATTTGAAATTGTAAGTGAAGACTACCTTTAGAATATGCAAGATGATTAGGTGAATATGCATTGTCACACGTGTTCCTTATTGTGAATTAAAGTATCAAGTTTAGTTGAATATACTGAATAGTCTTGCAGTACTGTGATCTCATACCTTCTTCTTGTGTTAGTCAACAAAAAAAGAATTTCATTTTTTCTTCATGAAAGTTAGAAGACATTGAAAAAACTAGTTACTTGATAGACCATACAAACACTTTTAGGATGAAAAACACTATGACCTCAATTAAAAGCAGGTTTACATTATAACCGGAAATTTGTCCGCCCATGTCATCAGGGATATCAAGAAGTTCAACTGTATATATAGATGAATTATATTCCACTTATTACAATGAAATGTGACTAGAAATTTGATTACAAACACCTTTTCCACTTCTAGACCTCTGCAATGCAAATTGCATTCAATATCCAACAAAAACGATGAAAAAATAAATTGGAAAGTGAGTATACCAATGTATCCGCCCTCAAAAAAATTGAAGTAGGTTAAAAGTATTATTTATTGACAGTTGTAACTTTCCATTGTTATTATTGATCGAATTGACCGATCTTTGTTGGTATATGGGCGCCTATATGGATGATTGGATATTCCCTGACTATTAATCATGCTGTAGTTTGCTTGGCAGTGGCCAGTAGTGGAATTCAGCTAGGATGCGCGCTATTTTTTCCTGTCCGAGACTCATCAATTGGATATACCTACACCCCAGTGAGTAGTGGCGTTCACAGTGAGACTCAAACCCAACCCCCGTCGCTTCAAACGCTGAGGCGTTACCCCCAAGTCCACTGGGGCGCTCATCCAGGACACACCTAGCTGACGAGCCCCGGCTAGAACGAAACGTGGGTCCTGGATTCCACTATCCAAAGTCAGTATAGTCAAAGTGAGAGTGGCAAGTTCTGGAGGTAAATATGAATTTGAAAACAACTATGTATGTATCTTAAAAATATAACCGATAAGAAACCATAAAAGAAACAACTAAATTAGTGAGTTCGATTATTTTCAGGATAAAATTTGAATCCATTCTACTAAAGTATGACTTCAGAAAATTTACAGATCATTTCAACAGTTTGCAAATGATTTATAAACTGCTCGTTCCACATTAACATTCCTCACAGTTGGGCAGTTTTTCACCTGTCCGGGTATACTGCTGATGAACTCGGTTCCAAACGACCGAAACTGCCTTTCAGTATTTATATCACTCTCATCTGCTTAGCGAAATCTATAGATCAGTATGAATAGTTTCTAACTACTCATGATGTTCAGTAGTATATTGCGATAGTTCTAAATACTATTGACCATATAATTAGACTATGATAACAGATCTTAATGATTATTCAATATCGTTTTCTTTTGCCAAGCATGAAAGCAACTTTTAATAAAATAGTAATAGTGGTAATAATAATAATAATAATAGTGCACTCCATCTAATATCCCTCTGTGTATGACTCCCCTAAAAGTGTTAAGAAACTTAATAGGGATTTTTTTACCTATCAATTGGGATAACTCATTGATAACACTGAGAAATAACACAAGTCTTATTCAAGTAAAAAGACAATACTTTACATAAATCCTATTATTGCTTTACGTAGTTGCTACAATCTTAAGCATATCATTCATTATTATTATTATATTATTATTAGTCCCTTGGGTTCCTAGTGGAACATAGGGCTTCAGTAGCACGCCTCCAGTGACCTCTGTTCTCTGAGATCTTTTGAACCTGGTCCCACGACAGCCCAGAAGCTCTCATTTCCTGCTCGCACGACCTCCTCCATGTCACCCTTGGACGTCCAACTCGTCGCTTCCCATGGGGATTCCACTCGAGGGCCTGACGCGTGATGTCCTCAGTCGGCCTTCTCAGTGCATGGCCAATCCATCTCCACTTCTTCCTGCATATTTGTTGCGTGATAGGTTCTTGGTTGGTTCGTTCCCAGAGTTCCTTGTTGCTTATTTTTTCTGGCCATCTGATCTTCAGCAGCGAGCGTAAGCAGTTGTTGATGAATGTCTGTAGTTTATTGGAAATACCTTTCGTGACGCGCCAAGTCTCTGAGCCATACAAGAGCACTGACTTTACGTTGGTGTTGAAAATCCGTATCTTGTTCCGCATGCTGAGTGCAGAAGATCTCCACACTGGTTTCAGGCTAATGAATGCCTGTCTTGCTTTTCCGATTCTGACTTTGACGTCCTCGTCCGTCCCGCCTGTAGTTGAAACAGTGCTTCCTAGATAAGTGAAGGAGGTTACTTCCTTTAAGTTTCTCCCATTGACAGTGATTGGAGTTTGTTGTTGTTGTTGTTGATGGTGGTGGTGCGGTATCTTCATCACTTCTGTCTTCTCTATATTCACCTGAAGTCCCGTCTTCGCTGCCTCTTCTATCAACTTGTTAGTTTTTGCCTGCAGATCTTCAAGTTTATGTGACATTAGGCATAAGTCATCGGCGAAATCCAAGTCTTCTAGGTTCTTTTCCGTCGTCCAGTGTATCCCCCTCTTCTCGCTGCCTACTGTTTGCTGCATGATCCAGTCCACCACAATCAAGAATATCATGGGGGATAGTAGGCAACCTTGTTTCACTCCTGTCTTCACTTCAAAGGCATCACTGAGCTTCCCATTGTGGATTACTTGGCATGTGGCATCTTCATATAGTTGTTGAATGAGGCGGATAAAGGTTTGTGGTATTCCGTAGTATTGAAGCAGTTTCCAAATTACTTCTCGGTCGACACTGTCAAAGGCCTTCTCAAAGTCGATGAAGTTGAGGTGGAGAGGTGATTGCCATTCTATGCTCTGTTCTATGATGATGCGAAGCGTTGCAATTTGGTCTGCACATGATTTGTACTTCCTGAAGCCTGCCTGTTCCGGTCGTAGTTTTGAATCCAGTGTATCCCTTAGCCTCTCCAGGATGATGCGGCTTAATATTTTACTTGGGGTGGACAGGAGAGTGATTCCGCGCCAGTTCTTGCAAGCACTGAGGTCTCCCTTCTTCGGCAGTTTGACAAGGTAACCCTTCTTCCAATCGTCAGGTACCTTCTCTTCCTTCCACACCTTCTGCAATAGTGGTGTGAGCATGGCCGCTGTTGTCTCTGCATCTGTTTTCAGTGCTTCTGGCGGTATTCCATCTGGTCCTGCTGCTTTCCCGCATTTCAGTAGCTTTATGGCGTTCAGGACTTCCATTTTCGTTGGGGGATTAATGTTCACTTGTAGTTCAGCGGCTGCAGGTGGTATTTCTGGACGAAGTGCAGGTGGTGGTCGATTCAAGAGCTTCTTGAAGTGGTCGGCCCATCGTTTCCTCTGTTTCTCTTCTTTTGTAATTAAATTTCCTTCTTCATCTTTTATTGGTTTCATCTGTGTTGGTCTCTTCCCTGATAGTAACCTGGTTATTTGATACAATGTCGTCAGGTCTCTCTTACCTGCAGCCTGTTCTGCTTCACTTGCCAGTGTGTAGTAGAAGTGTCTTTTGTCGTTGCGTGCACTCTTCTTCACTTCTTTGTCCAGTGTTTTATACATTGTGCTCAGTTCATATCATTCATTAGGGAGCAAAAAATTAACTACTAGGTTATTCGATATCGCATAAATCCTCTTTCAGCACTTAATTCTACACTGTATAGTAAATGTTTTGCCTACTAACAATTAAAGAAATGGACAATAGGAATTGTTTTTTAAACAGGAGTTGCAATATTCAGGCATACGAACTTTTAAATGTAACATTTTTACACAAAGATTAGATATTATAAAAATGAAAATTGGTTTATCAAAGAAGGCATACTTTGATTTTAGGATTACTCAGATTGTAAACAGGTGAAAAGGATTCATGAGAATTCATAGTATTTATTTAAGTCAAGTTAGTGTCAAAATGAAACAAGGAGTTACTGCGAACTGCATTAAGTGGTCATACCTCGTACCAATACATCAAGGTAGAAAGCGCCAAGATGAAAGAGAGAAATAAGGGGGAAAGTAATCAAAAGTAGTAGAAAGTTGTGCAATCAGAATGAGAAGGAATGGAGCGCTAATGAAATTCGACATGACGGTTAATATGAAGATAATGTTTTACTTCATTGGAGGCAATCAATAAGAAGCCTTGTTCGGTCTTGGTTTCGTGGCTGTTGGCACTCGTCAGCAAGGTGTATCTGCGACCTCGAGAGAAGTGATGTCCCCTCTGAGATCCGAAACTACGCTACCCAGTGTTGTAGTCAGAGACGCTACCAATAAGCTGTCTAGGACTCGGTCGGCTTCTTTTACGACTCCATTAGATACACTGACTAGTCACTGGAAGGTAATCAACTTCATGTTGTCTAGTCATGAGTGCTAACCGAATTCTATTGATTATTTTGCAATTTGGTCACCAAGCTAGGAGTCTCATTATCGCAATACATTTTGATGGACCAGATAACTTGAAACTGGTTACCCTCCAGTGACCAATCACTGTATGTAATTCAGCCCGTCAGTCTGTCAATCGTGGCTTGAATAGCTCAGTGGCAACGTCACTGACTGCAACACTGGGTGGCGCGGATATGGATCTCAGAGGGGATATCATTTTTCCCGAGGTTGTGAATACACCTTGCTAACGAGTGTCAACAAGTGCGAAACCTAGGTCAAACATAGCTTCCTGCCAATTGCCTTCAATCAACAGATATCCATCAAAAGTGCACCACATTGGTGAGCCTCCTAGCTTGGTGGCTATACTGCAGAATGGTCCATAGAATTGGGTCGGCACTCAGGACAACACAATATGAAATTGGTTACTTTCTAGTGACCAATCAGTTAAGATAATATGTGGGTGGTTCTGTGGCAGTAAGATCGATTCTCAGCCATATCATCTAGAGGTCTCAACTACCGGCTGGTGTCTTGCGGACCTCTATACGAGACTTTATGTACAGAACCTATGTGTAGAGAAGTCTAAAAGAGCAGCATCCATTGATCGTAGAGAAAATAAAAAAGTAATGTTGAAAATAATAAGCCTTACAGTAAACAAACAAGAAGGTTCTCATTTACAAACAATTTTTATTTCTGCATCTTAGTTCACACTGTTCTTATCCTTGATATTTCCGTCCAGTATTGTGTATTTTTTAGGCAAATCCTTACCAGTTAACTATTATCATCATTTATGATGTTGTTATATATACTGCCTATATGCATTCCTATAAGTAGCTCTGGATACATGCGTCTAAGTTTAACAGTCTTTTACCTTTCCCAAGAGTATACCTATTTCAACCAACACTGACAAAGATGACAACTAATCAGGCGTAGCGCATATCCAAGTCACCTTAGTCGATGAAAGTTCACAACCTCATCTACTGCCTTTCCTTTTATGCTCAAAACTACGCCTGACTTCTACTTTGCTGATGCGGTGATACCACGATACTCGGCTAGTGCTAAGATGGCGATGTTGGTCAAATACCTTAAGCTTTTTCATGTCCTCTATCTTTAATGTCTATGTTTCACAGTCATAAGGTAGAAAAGAGCAAACTTGTGTGCAATATACTCGAATGTCAGGCATTTACCAAATATAGCATAGGTCGGTGAAATCTAACCGAGCCCTTTATATCCCTGTAGAGATTTAGTCCATCATTGACCCATCAGAGCTGATCAAACTTTTCAGGTGGGTGAAGTAGTCAACGGACTGAATCATTTCCCCCTTGATTATCATTTTTGACCTTATCAAGTTTACAATTAAAGAGGATTGTCTGAGTTAACTAAGCCCAGTTAAGTATACAAATAATAAATCTATTTATTATTTGATATTATTTTATGTCATACTATTAATATAAGAGTAAAAACTTGAGCACTACGGTAGAATGTAATTCCATTATAATTGATTTATTAGATTTATAACCCAGTGGAATGGTATTTGTTTGCTGGATTACTTTTCCGATATAACTTATTGTCCATATTCATATCAAGCTAACTACACAACTTTGAGACGTCCTTTATATAGTCCTAATTGCCTTGACTCTTTTTTTGATATGGGTATATGTGTATGTTACACTGAAATAATTGAATCAATAGGATTAGAGGTAATTGTGTTGATTGAGTGCATTTATTAACTCAAAGTATCTCACAACTATGAATAGCTTAATTCCAACTGTGAACTTCACAAATCTATACATTGTTTATTGAAAATGATTTTTACCACATTAAAATGTATACTAGGAAATAAAATGAAATTTTTAAAAAAAAGATAACTTACTGAACATATTTCATTCAATGCTGTATCACAACCTAAAGAGAAATCAGTACCTGGTACATTATTAGATATTGTAGCCGGTACCATAGCCATAGGTATGCATAACTCAGGATGTTTATCACGTCCTTCAGCTAATTCTATCATACACTCATAGGCTTCAAATCCACCAATAACAAGTAGACCACTAAATTTATATTCTTTGAATTTATTTGCCACTTTTTCAATACCTAAACTATTCGGTGTATCTCTGAAAAAGAAGTAAGAAAAACAAATAAACAACTAATAAATTGTTATTATTTGTTGATTTTTTTATTATTTCTCGTTATTATACTGTATTGAATTGATCAACCTGTGTTTAGCATATGAACTCCTATCCAGACACCTAAATATTGTTTAAGTATTCATTGTTACATCAACAAACAGTAACAAGCAATATTCATTTCACAAGAATTAGCTATCATACCTCTAGTGGATAACACTTTGGTGTTTGAAGTATTGATTACTGGGTTTAAGTCTCATTGGGAACATCATCACTCACTAGAGTGTAGGCATGCTCACCCGACGAGTTCCAAATAGTGCGAAAAGCGTATTCTGAATTCTACTTCTAGTCACTATCAAGTAAACTAATGGACTAGTTAAATCAATATCAACAAACTCTCTAATATTATAACAGAAAACAGAAGTAAATATTAATGAAAGATACAGTCGACTGTCTTAATTAAAATGCAGAATAGTTAAATAAATAATTCTGCAAGAAAGTAGTTCATATTTAGCATAGATGAGTAAAAAGTGAGATGAAAGGCAACTAAGTAGATGATAATACATCCAAAGTTTAACCTAAGGGAAGAGATAAACTGTTGAAGTAGTTGTGATATAACACAAGTGACTCAATTCATCAATAACTGAATTTACTCAGTTCACATTTTTAGTGATCATTATGTGAAACACTAACAGTACTAATATACTTTCTTCGATAATTGTTCAATGAATTGATAGCTGGTGAGTTCTTTCTTCTTTAATGGTCAGTGGCTGGATCAGGCATCGTCAGGTTGAGTTAAATAATGACACTTGTAACAGTTCAGGTGGTTATTTAGTAGTAATTTTAACACAATAAAATAATTGCATCAGGATAAGGTTCACTTCAGTGCAGTTTTGCTGAACTTTTTTGGTCAAACCATTACTTATATAGAGGCTTGAAAATGAATTACTCATAATAACTTTATTATATGCAAGAACGACAATTATTCATTAGGCTAATTAGACTAATTCATCAGTATGGTTGTGAAATCATCATGCTTGAGGGTTTTGTCAACGTTAGCTTCAACAGCTAAAAAATCAGTTGTATTCTCTAGTGATAGATAAACGGATATTTTCAAGTTTCACTTGTACGCTTTTCGTCCTACTTGGGACTCACCAGCTGGGAAGCAGGTACATCCAGCTGACGAGTCCCAAATAGGACGAAGTGCGCATCCTGGATTCCACCGCTAGCCACTGCCCATCATTACTAAACATAGTTAAAAGACAGGCCATATCGAGGCATCCCCATAGGAGCCCATATGCCAACAGAGGCTGATCAATTCGGTCCTATCAACGACGGTGTAATACAAGCAATTTCACTTGTACGAACATTATAGAAGTTGGCTTTATATGAGTTAATATGTGTAGCAGAACAAGGGAGATTCACGGTTAAAAGTTTCATAAGCCCTACTGTGATGACAAGAAAATGAGTCAAAAAGGATACTAGCCAGTATCTATATCACAAAACTTAACGCAGTACAGTATATCAGCTATTTTAAATAGAAAACTCGTTGGTAATATGGTTGTAGGTTGCCTAGTTATTATTTATGCAATGTTCAGTAGGTTAGGATTTACAATAAAAACTGAGGTTAAACCACTTGAAAAAAAAGATTCTTTTGCATTATAAAGACTTCTGACATACCTGCGTGTTCCCAGAGCAGAGCCTCCAAGTGCAACCCATCCACGTACATCAGACCATTGTATTTCACTCACTTCACCGTTAACAAGACCAGAAAATCCTTCATGTATACCCAGAACAGTAAAGCCTTTAGTAATACCCAGACGAGCGAATCCTCTCATTACAGCATTAACACCGCAGGCTGGAGCACCAACATTCACTATACCAAGTTTTAAATTATTCTAAAAAGCATTTAAAGAAAAAACACATTTCGAGGCATTAATAAAACAGAAGTATATTTTGTATTTTTGAAAAAAAGTCAGTTGTTTAAGTTAGACGCAACAGTCTACGTATGTGTGTGCGTGTGTGTGTGACAGAGAGATGCATGGGGGATAATATATTAAACAGTCATGAGCACTTGTGTAACAGGGAAGTGTAAGATACAACAAAGAGCATCCAAACCATAAAAAATATAACTTGTATACAAAAGAGGTGTATTTGATAAAAGCTATTTAGACATAAGGATAAATTATTACTAAAAGAGATGGATAAAATGACAGAAATGGAAAAAACCAAGCTAATTCAACTTTCACACATACCTGAGATATAAATTATACTATACTAAGTATTTGATAAAACTGAACAAAATACAGCTGAGATTCTATCAAGAATCTATACCATTCATCTCTGTGTAACATATATATATATATATATATATATATATATATATATATATGATATTTGAGTGAACGTAAGTAAAATAACACTGTTCGTTGATAATGTTCAACAAAAATATACACTGAAATGATCAAATGATAACTCTGAAAAAAAAAATCAAAAAATGAAGAAACGACTTGAAATTTATCGAATTAGCTATGAACCGTAAAAAAGGCACGATAATATAGATAACTTTCAGCCAGTGCTCAGCACTACATTATTCGCTATCCATTAATCGATTTTTATGCATACTCGAGTTATGAATGTGATCAGTAGTGACCTTAATAACGTGGATGTGAAAGTTCTAACCTCAAGAACTGATAGCAGCAGATTTGAGTCTCCTAGAGCACATGAGTATCAGTAATGTGAGCGTAGACTTTGGACATAGTACACACTGATATCATATCTTATCATACTATATCATAATCATATCTTGATATGATTATGAATGATAAATTCTGCTCAAAAAAGTAACACTACACCACTGTGTACTATATAAGGTAGAATAATTTAATATGGAAGTGAATGAGTATCTTTGACATTGCAGTTACACCTTGCTGATGAGTTCCAGCAACCACGAAACCAAGATCGAGGGCTTCTTGTCTTTTGACTTCCGATACCTAATATCAAAAAAGCCATAATACTTAATGCATAGCAATAAGGGGACTGGTTGAGTTTTTAATGAAAAAAAGTCATGATAAATTAGTTACATGATTGACATAAAACATTAAGGGATTGTTTATAAGAACAAAATTACTGGGAAATAAACAAACAATATACGACTAATTTATACTTAAAAGAATGATGAAATCTGCGTGACTCGGAGAAAGAGAGAGAAGTAGAAGTGTAGAATATCTGCGCAATACAGTTTAGTTATAACTAGAAAGAAGAAAAAATGTAAGTTCAGTCATTTAATCTTTCAACCTGTCACATCCTCACCAAACCCACAGAAAGTAAAGTACATTGGATTTTGGAACCTATAAGTTCAACTTTAGGAAATAATAGAAATCAATCAATAAATTAGGTACAATTAGTAATCATGATTTGCGATGCAGAAGTTTCAAACTACTGAAATCATTCAGTCATCAGTAAAACATAAAAGAATTGACCCTAATATTATTAGACGGTTGAAGGTTTAAACATATTTAAAAAGGTGTCGATAAACAACACTGAGGTTTGTTGGAATGGACAAAGTTTTCAAAGTTAACAGAAGCGTCATCAGGCGTGGTGATGTATGCGCAGTTCACTAATCAGTAATGAAAACTTATGTTTTTATCCTTTGCAGTTATGAGTATATGCAATCATGAAAATGCTGTTGAACCATAGTAGAAATCTAGTTATAGATAAGGATAATAATATTAACACTCAAGGCTACTGGAGCAGGTTGTTTTACTTGTGGAAAACAGATATAAACTTAGTTTAGCAAATTATTCTATACCCGTCACACAAGGGTGGTTATCGCGACTCACTGGTCTAGTGAGTAAGACTTTGACGTGTGAAGTGGTTGGTCCTAAGCTTCAGTTTCAGTGAGGACAATATCACTCACTGGGGTGCAAATACATCCAGCTAACGAGTCCTAAACAGGGTGAAATACGCGTCTTGAATTTCACTACCAAATACAATCACTCGCTTTTTCATCATCATCATTATCAACATAGGACCAGGCATTACTGAGTAACGGTTCGAGTTGCCACACCTCATATCAGCACATCAAGTAAAAAGGTAGTGAGGTGAAAAATGAAGATAAGTGAATGCAGTCAAAAGAAACATAAAGTATGAGGAGAAAGGAAAGAGGAGTGACAAAATGGTGAGATTCAGTATAGCGTTGTTAAGATGAGGATAATGTGTGTATACATCTGCGCCACTGACATCGGTTCTCAGCCATATCACCTAGGGTCTCCAACCACTGGTTCCTCTTGTCCCGTGGACCCCAACCACTTAGTCTGCATCGTCCTACATGGCTTAAACCAACAGTCGGAGACTTCACACATTGGTGCCATGTTTTAGTCTGGCCACCTCGGGCCTTTTTACAGCCTGGACCCACCTCAGCCAACATTGTGTGACGAGGCAATCGGTGACTAGGCATACGTAGTACGTGTCCCAACCATCTCAGTCGATGAAGGTTCGCAACCTCGTCAACTGACTTACCCCTTCTACCCAAAACTCTACACCTAAATTCTGCATTACTCACATGGTGACACCACGGAATACGTCCTATACTACGAAGGCAACGGTGGTCAAACACCTTAAGCCGTTTTGTATCCTCCACTTTCAATAGCCATGTTTCACAGCCATACAGTAGAACAGGGTGGACTGCTGTGTAGTACACGCGACCCTTATTAGACAAACGAGTATCATGGCGGCGCCATAGGTGGCGCAAATTGGCAAAAGCCAATAGAGCCTTTTGTATCCGTGCAGAAATCTCATCGGCAACTGACCCACCGGAGTTGATCCTACTTCTCAGGTAAGTGAAGTGGTCAACACACTCAACCACTTCACTCTCTATTGTTAGCCGCGGTGGGGCACCGCTGAAGACCAGTCCTGGAGCAAAAATTTGCTCGCTTTTTACCAAATTATGAAGTTATTTTTGCAAAACAGGAGCAATAAATATTTGATTCAGTTCAGTAGTAAAATCAACATCAAATACATCTTCAGTGCCTATGTATCTGATGTATATGCGAACAAAATAGTTAGAAAGTTCATAACTTAATCAACTAACACAGGGAACGAGCACAAATTATCTTGATGATAAATCAAACAATAATATCTGTCATTGAAGGAAATAATGGTAAGAAGGGAGTGTGTAATTATAGTTAAAGATGGTGGAAAATCTAATAAAGATGGAGAATAACCGGGATAGTGTGCTAAGTGGATGGAAAAATAAGAAAAGGACATGTTAAGAACCGCAATTAAAATATGCTGAATAAAAATAAACTGAAAATAAGCGGAATATGAAGAATGTTGGGGACTGACGGAGGAATAAATAATCAACTAGTAAATAAAGCTGTGGGAAATAAACAACAGTTCGAGAAGACAAGGCAAAGTGAAATACAAACTCAGTGTGTACACTTTTGTTTGGTTTTCGTTAACAGATTGCTATTGTTTCTGCAGAATCTAGCAATCTACATTTGATATTCCCATTGATTACAAGGATAGGTGTCTTTGAATTGACAGCATAACCTGTATCAAAGATTTATCTATCACAATGAAACTGCTAGGTAGTTTTGTATCTCTGAATAATAAACTATTTGATACGCGTTCAAAGATTCTTTTAGCAAGGCTTCACTCCGTTTTTTTTTTTTTTGACTTACATGCTACTGCATGTATAAATAAATAAATAAATACATTTGAAGATGATTTCACAAGTTTGTACATCTAAACTGGTTTCTTTGAGCCTATTCTTTGTTCTATCGACAACTTTTAATTTCATAGCAGTATAAGTTACAGTATGGATTCTGATCGGCGATTATATTTTATGAACTCAGTTCATCACCTTGCACTAGTAATCTAAGAAATAGGTTCAATTTCAGCATAGTTATTTCAATTAATTACTCTATTTTAAACTTAAAAATGCTTATTCATGAACTTTGTACCCGATCTGTTACCTGAAAAAGATTTTCAATTTTTATTTTGTTATCAAATTTCTTTTCAGTCATTTCTTTGGAATATAATCTGATTGACCTTAAAAACAAAGTCTTGACTTAATTAATTTTATAAGAATTAAAATAAAAGTTATTAGAAATAGCAAATATTGATATGATAAACTTTGAGTAGGATTTTGAACACATTTTGAAGCTACTGTGTATATGAAACATATTGAAGCATATCAAATGAATTCAATTCATCATGCATGGTTTGTTGTTTTTACTTCATAAAAATTAAAAAAAAATGATTTCTTTCTGAAAATATTAATGAGTAATTGAGTCAAATATGACAATAAAAGTATGTCCGACATGTAAATAAATTCTTTAATCTGTAATGTCTAATTAATATTATTGTTATGAGGTGGATTAGAGGTGTGTTAGAAATCTAAAGGAAGGGGGGGGTCAAAATTCGAACGAATGGCCTCCAGGTTACCAGTACAGTGTTCTACTGACTGAGTTACTAGACTTTGCTGACGACTAGATCTTAACAACACTAAAAGTACCAAGAGATTTACCCATCTGTCATATAAATTCTTGATGTATTACTGTCTATTCATCTTACTCTCATTGGCTTCACAGCCAAAACTTATCATCTCAATCTAAATTATATTATTCAAGTTTTCATTCTTTTGAGACGTGACCGGTGGAGTCAAGCCTGATGGCCGTGAGGACAAATACTCAACGATGACATTAGGTGGCGGTTCGCGCTATATCGTGAGCTAACAGAAGTTGGAAATATGGAGCATTGGATTCTGACCCAGTGGCTCAATGGTAACGCGCTGGTCGCGGAACCTGAAGGTCGCGGGTTCTATCCCTGCTGGTGGGGTCGTGGGTGCGCACTGCTGAGGAGTCCCATACTAGGACGAAACAGCTGTCCAGTG